TATTATTATTATTATTATTATATAATTACAAAATTTTGGCCAAATTGTGTAGCCCTACAAACAAGCAAACCTGGAGTTTTTGTTTTTAATCACATTTTAAATCACAGTCACAATTTTTTTAATCAGAAAAATGGCAATTCGATTGTTTTCCCCAGACCGAGCAGCTCTAACCCGAAGCCGTCCACACTCACCAGACAGTCTCTCTGGAGCGTCTTCACCAGCGCGTTATACGTGTCCACGTCCAGCAGGAGGCCGTCCTGAACGTCCTGCATGAAGTCCAGGTCTTTAAAGGTGGGCTTGGACTTCTCGCGCTCTTTCTTGGATGCGCGGCGCTTGCACGTGGAGCCCTTCAGGTCGAACTTGAGATGCATGCGAACGATGCGCGGCAGGACGTTATTCATCACCACGATACGGATGTTCTTCCCGCCGGACTGAACGCAGTACAAGCCGAAGAACTTGGGCAGCAGCGTGCGGGGATTCTGGTTCAGGTTCTGTGGGACGAACAGCACAGATCAGTCATCTAAAGAGTCAGAAAACCTGGCTGTCTATGCATGCAGTAGAGCGCTGAAATTTTTTTTGAAATCAGTGCTACGTGATCATTTTCTAGTTTAGTGATCAAAAATCTCATTATTATCTAAGGATCAAAAAATATGGACAATTGGACATACATACTGTACAAATGTTTTTGTATACTGCTGTTATAATTAATGATTATTATGATTGCAGGTCAAACTGACCATAAACTGGTTTTAATAGAACTCATCAATATCACACTATGAAAAATAATAAATAGTCACCACCATTGCAAATAGCAAACAGACCAAAACAGTATTATATGTGACCCTGGAGCACAAAACCAGTCTTAAGTGTCAATTTTTCTAAATTGAGATTTATGCATCATCTGAGTCAAGCTGAATAAATAATCTTTCCATTGATATATGGTTTGTTATGATAGGACAATATTTGGCTGAGATACAACTATTTGAAAATCTGGAATCCCATCTGCTGCTCGCGCTCCGCCTGATCCAGATTATGAACCCCCAGCAGCAGACTGTAGTCCATGATCTTAAAACTCTCCAACACCTGCACACACACAGCAACCCTGCGGTTTATATCTGCACTAACCCAACGAGGGCTGCATGATCAATCCAAATAGAATCTAAATCACAGTGTGGCTAAAATAAGTAACAATATAAAAAAAAAAAATACAAAAAAAATATTATTATTGTTTTATTTTTCTTAAGTACTTGCTTTTTTTTCTAATTTTACACTGAAATATTAAAATAGCAATATTTTTTATTTAGTTTTTATTATTTAAAAAAGTATATTTTTATTTATCAGCAATAATAATGAATAATTCTATACATTCATTTAGTAGCAATAATAATAATAATAATAATTATTATTATTATTATTTCATAGTCATATGGTTATATAG